TTCCCTCTTCAGTCCCAATAACTGTGGCTCATTTATTATTCCATCCCACCGTGCGCTCACCATGACTGTACCCCGACCTGGGGCCAAGCAGGGAGCGGACACAAGCAGGAAAAAAAAGGAGTGAAGGTTTACCCCACCCTCTAGGGATCACAGCTTCTCTGATCATAGACAAAATTTATCTTCCCTCAGAGTTTGAGACTCTTGCAGACTCCCACTGCCACCGCTGGGGCACAGGGAAACAATTTTTTTTAAGGGGGATTTCCCCACTCCCACAATGCCGAGCAGCAGATCCCTTTCCCACTTCTTAAGGCTAAACTAGAAGGTTTCCCCTGCAGTTCTTTCTGTCCATGCCAATATCCACTTCTGAGCTCTGTGCTTGCTGGACTCCCGCTAAGAGATACTGGGAGGCGGAAGAAAAGGTAAACACACCGCAGGTTTGGAGGGACTTCACATTTTGGGTTTCTTCCCCATTGTGCCTGCTAATCACTTTTTAGAGACCTCAAATTGCTTCTCCATGCACACTGTCCTGGTTTTATAGCAGCTTTCAGTGGGGAAGACAGGAGAAGTGTGCTCAGTTCACCTTACCCAGGACCAGGACTCTCCCAAATTCAGAGCAAATTATTACTTTTAAAACTAATATCACATTGGAAATGAAGACACCGGATGTTCAGTGGCTCTTGCGCCTCAAACATCACACTGCACTTCTTCAGTAGCACGTATAGCTAGTGCTTATTATGTGCCAAGTACTTTTCTAAGCACTTAGAATATATTGACTCATTAATCCTCACAACAGCCCTTTATAAGTTAGGTAATATTATTATTCCCATTTTACAGTTGAAAAAACTGAGAGTAAAGGACACATCTCGTATAGAGTGCCGCTAGAATTTGTACCCTGGCAGTTTGGTTCCAGAGTCCATGTTACTAACCTTTATGCCATATTCTGCCACTTTTAAAATATTTTTTTCTGACAGTTAACAACAATGGTTTTAAAATGTATAAATGCTCTAAGAAACAAGTTCCACTGGTAGTACATGTTCTGTGGCATTATATCTGATAAAAGGTGTTTTGCTTTAAGTTGCTCATTGTGTTTTTGATATAAAATAAGAACAGTTTTACTATTCTAAGTTATTTTTACTTGATTAGTTAAAATGAATCGGTTCTTATAATTTCTTACAATAATTAATTTGCTGATGATACTCATTTAGCACTTTAATCAGAACATGAATTACAGTTCTTTAGGTTTTATTAGTCAGTAAAATATTAAATTAAAAATATTCTGGAGTAAATTTAAGTAACTAATCCACAAGAAATGAAAAATTAGGAATTTGGTTCAAGAAAATCAGGAGGAGGGAGGAATGAATAGATGGAACACACGGAATTTTTAGGGCAATGAAATTATTCTGTATGATACTACAGTGGTGGCTACACGTCATTACGCATTTGTCAAAACCCATAGAATGTGCAACAGCAAGAGTGAGCTCTCATGTAAACCATGGACTTTGGTTGATAGTTATGCGCCCATGTTGGTTCATCGATTGTACCAAATTCGCCACACTGATGAGGGATGTTGAGGGTAGGGGAGTATATATGTGCGAGTGGGGAGGGCTATGTGTGAACTCTCTGTATTTTCTGCTCAATTCTGTGAGCCTGAAACTGCTCTAAAAGAGTAAAGTTTATTACAAAAAAAATAGACAATCAGAGCTGAGGGCAAAAATTCAACCATAAGAATGGTCCCTGCAATACTCATTAAATAGCAAACACTAGCAACAATTTGTCTGTGGAACAAGAGGCTTATTGAATAGACTGTGGTATTCATCCTAGAAAGAACAAACAATGTCGTACATACCCCGGTGTTTTAAGACCTGCCGGGCACCAGTCAAGTGGGGAGGGAAGCCCTGCATACGCTGGCCAGAATGCCCCCATCTCACCTGGGCCTGCAGATCTCCACCACTTGCCTCAGGATGCAGCTCAGACAGCCCTTCCTCTGTGACTCAAGTTCTCCCAAAGCCCCCTCCCTACAACAGTGAGCATGACTGTGCAGCATTTCTCACCAGGAGGCAGAAAGGAGCTAAAAGAAGGCAGATTTCCTCCTGCCAGACTGTGGCGTATCACAGAGCTACGTCAGTCTAGAGGAAGGGGCACCTTTTTCTAATTCGCCCAGAGGCACTTGTTCAGCCTAATAATGGCCCTTCCCCACCCCTACGCAAGAGGTCCACTCTCTAGCTGCAGCACTGATCACACTGTATATATAAATGCTTGCTGCCTTTTCTTTTCTCCAACAGATTGTGAGCTCTCTGAGAGCAAGGATGGGGATGTAGGGACTACACAGATGGCGGCTCTCAAACTTTCTCTAAGGACTGTATTTCTGCGTTGTCAGATACTTATGAAAAGACTAAGTGCAAGGGAAGGGCTCACAGTAGGTCATTTGAGTGAAAACTCAACACAGAAGAGGAAGAAGAGGAAGCTCTATGAGAGGGCACTGGGCTGTCTGAGCCTACCTAAGGCCCCATCACTCATCAGAAAGAGAAGAAGTAGGAACCAGGCCCAAGGGTAGAACTCTCAAGCAAATAATTTTCAGAACAAAACAAGCATTACCAGATCTTGAAAAGCAAGGCTATTTTAGGAGGAAAAAGGAAATACTAACCAGGGACATGGCTTCAATTCCTATCACCTCCTCCTCTTCCTGGCTCCTCATGTGGAGAATGGCTTTACCGTGAGAGGGCAGAGCTGGGAGGAGAAGAAAGGAACAGTGAGAGTCTGTCCAGCTCTAACAGTCACAGCCTAGAATCTTTTCCCTTCAGCTTCCTCTGTTTCACTCCCCCACTGCCACTCCACCTTCCCCTCATAGTCCAGGCACCTGTGGGGAGACCTGTAATTTACAGCTGGGGTTCTACTCTGCGCTGGATTCTCAAGCTGAGCACAACCCCTCTCTCACTCAAAGACACCAATTCGTTAACCTCAGAGGTGTGTTAGGCCTGCTGCAAATGTTAATGCTCTGACTTAACCTTCACATCTTCAGCGAAAATACGCATACTGTCAGTTTCACACATGAAAGCTCTGGGAAGTGAAGTCTTTTGCACATGTCACACCGCTTGTAAATAATGGAAACCTGTCGCCAACCTAGGTCTGCCTGACTCTCTCAAACAAGTTATTTGCTCAAGCAGACAACAGAATATAATAGAAAGTACGCCCCCATGCAACTAACTATTCAGGATTTGTAAAGAATCTATGAGACTTGGAAAAACCCATCTTCCCCAGAGATGTTACAATAGAGTCTGTGTGGCTTGCAGATAGCGGGACCAAAAAACTGTCAGGAGATCCAGGTTTTCATATTGCTTTCTGGCAAATTATAGTTCTGAAGGAGTCCCCTGTTCCCCTCCAGCCAAGTTTCTTCAATTAGGAAAAAGATAATAGTATCTGACTTAATTCTGGTTTCTTTCCTCTAAACACCATTGCTTTTTCAAAGCATTATTATAATGATGATAATTAGAAGGAACACTTACTGAGCACTCACTATGTGGCAGGGACTCCAACAAATGCTTTGCACGTATGAGCTCACTTAATCCTTATAACAGTCCTATGAGGTATATAATATCACCTCTATTTTACATAACAGAAACTGGGTGAGAAAGTTTCAGAAAAAAGCTTGCTCAGTGGAGGTCTTGGGATCTAAAGTCTTGAGGTTATTTAACCCTCTCAGGGTTAAACTGGCAAAAGCTGTTAAGAATACCTACCTTGAGTAGTTGCTGAGGGGATTACACGAGAGCCAGCACAGGGGGCACTCTGGAGTCGGCCTGTCCTGGACGTGAATCCTGGCTCCTCCACTTACTAGTGATTACTTGTCCTCTCTCTGTTTCAGTTCCTCTTCTGTAAAAAGGAGATGGGGGAGCTTCCACTTCATAATGTTCTGAGGTTTGGAGTTTATATCCCCAAAAGGTCTTAGAAATGCATCTGGCCCACATAAGCACTCAGCAAACTTTAGCTACTGTTATTACACTAAAACGAGCGAAGAACAATAAGGCTATGAGCAGTACTAGCTTCCCCTCTTTCGCTTTACTCACCCTGATCGGGAGGTTGGGGGTGCAGGCAGAGAGAGAGGTCTGAAGGAGGAATGCGGTTATACTTGTTCACCTACTAGAAGGTGACTAAGCGGTGGAACGGCTTGGATCCCTCAGCACTTCCAGAGGAAGCTGTGAATAATGCCTTCCTCCCAAGTCCCCATCCCACAGTGATGTATGGGACAGGACTCAGGTTGAAAAGAAAAATTAAATACTGAGGTCCTCCTTGAAGAGCAGCAGAGCACTCAGAGGTAATGTTCTAACGGGGGAACACTCTCCTGGGGCCCTTGGAGACACTCACACTGATCTGGAAGGGGAGTATCTGGCTAGGTGACTGCACAAGTCAAGATCCCTCCCTGAATTCGGCTCCTTATTCTGGCCCGAGGTGACCCTCCAAATCTTTGGACTCCTGAGTCCACTAGACTTTGAGGCCAGGGACATCCTTCTCTAGCACTTGGGCCCGAGGAATAGCACCCCCGAATCTTAATTTCCACCCTTGCAGCCGCACACAAGCCCTCTGTCACTCTTACCTCCGTACCCAGTCCCGTGGTCGTGTGCAGTGTCCCGGCTTCCACACCCTCCATGTGGGGCAGGCAAGAGATGCTTCAGCCGCGCCCCCGCAACGAGGCACCTTCCCAGGACTCCAGGGCTTTGTTCCACACTGGGCTCCTGGTGGTGGAGTCGGGTGTGTGTGTGTGTGTGTGTGTGTGCGTGCGCGCGTGCGTGCGTGTGTGTGCGCGCGCGCGCGTAGGAGTGGGGGACGAAGAGGTTCTTCTCTGGTGGTGTGTCCAGGTCTCAGCCACGTAATATCATTCACTCACTGCAACACACGCCGTCCCTCACATGCTGCTGAGACGTGCGAAGTGCGCAAAAGACACGCGCAGAAACACAGGCCCCAGACAGACACTGCCCTCCTCCGCGCCCCACCAGCCGCATCTCGAACCCCCATTCACACACGGACCTGCTTCCTCTTCCCGGTCACACAGACACCACGCACTGCAGGCCGCAGTCGCACGTCCATGACGCCCACCCCCACCTCTCCACGGGCGCGGACCCGAACGCCGCCCTCTCGGCGCCTCTACAGGGCCTGGGCCCAGTCACGGCCGCCGCCCCGCCCAGGTTTTCTCCTCAGAAACTGCCAGACTCGCTCGTGCCCGGACTTCAAGCCGTTGCCGGAAGTGGGCGTGCCCTTCCGGTGCAACGGCCCCTGGGAAACGTAGTCCCGGCGGGTGGCGGCGGCTTTCTGAAATCGGGCGAGGAGGCTGCTAGGCAGGGTTCCTCTCCCAGGCCTAGTGATCACTGTCCCCTGTTGGAGCCTCCTGGTCTGGAACAGAGCCGCCTGGAAGTCTTTCAGCCCAGACTGCAGTTCCCTGAAGGACCAGCCGCCTCCGTGAACAGAGCCGAGTCCCGGAGGCTTCTGGGAGCCGTATCCAGGCTCGGACTGCGCAGGTGCAGCGGTCAGGCTCAGAGGGACCTGTGAAGCGGCTCACCGGGGCCTCCGCGAATGGTGGGCGGGGTCGCAGAAGGCGTGGAGCGCCCAGGAGCATTGAGCCAGCGGAAGTCTGGGAAATGGGCGGGGCCTAGGAGAGGCGAATCTGGGGGCGGAGCCTCTAGGATAGAAGGTGAGTGGGAGTTTGCCTGGTGTTTTGTGCGCTTGCGATTTGTAACTTTATGAATGTATATGTGTGTGTGTAAAACCTGTCTTATTTCATGCCTACAAGTTCTCGCTCTCTGATACAATCTACACCCCCAGCCCATTTTGGAAACCAAAGTCTGTGGCATCTACAGCTACAGCAAATGTTAAAACAGCCCAGCTCGTAACCAGAGTAACATAAAACCTCATGCTTAAAAGCTTAATTACCTAGTTTCTATACCTAGTACATCACGTCCAGGTTTCAGCAAAAATTACAAGGCACGCACAAGAAGAAACACTATCTGAAGAGACAAAGCAGGTACTGGAACCCAGAAAATTATGACAGAGATTTTGGAATTATCATACCAGGAATTAAAAAAAAAAACTACGATTAACATCTTAAGGTCACTAATGAGAAAAGTAGGCAACATGCAAGAACAGATGGATAATGTAAGCAGAGAGATGGAAACTCTGATTATCCAAAGGAAATGCTAGAAATTTAAAGTGCTAAAACAGAAAAGAAGAATGCTTTTGGTAGGCTCATCAATAGATTGGACACAGCTTAGGAAAAATGAGTGCATTTGAAGATTTGTCGATAGAAATTTCCCAAACTGAAATACAAAGAGAATTAAAAAAAAATCCAGGATATCCGGGAACTGTGGGACAACTACAAAATGTGAAACATAGGCATAATTAGAAGAGGAAGGAAAGGAGAAGAAATATCTAAGTAATGACAGTTTTTGAAAGTTAATGATAGTGGCCAAACCACAGATTCAGGAAGCACAGAGAATTCCAAGCAAGGACAAATACATGCAAAAAATATACACCTAGGCATATCATATTCAAGATGTGTAAAATTAAACACAAAGGAAATCTTGCAGGAAAGGAGAGGCGGTAAAACTCACGTAAGAGAGGAAAGAAAACCGAATGACAACTTTTATTCTTTTCTCTATTTTTTTGGAGTAACTTCTATAAGATAGGAATAAACCATTTCTTAGTTTGGTAGAGCTCATTTTTAAAGCCATTTGAATAGGATTTTTCTAGAATGAGAGGTCTTTGACAACATTTTGCTTTAATATTCTCTATATTTCTTCATGCAATTTTATATTTTTCAAGGAATTTAACCCCTCATTTATATTTCAGATTAATTAGCTATATATAGTTGGTTGTTTAATTCTCTATTGTGTCTAAAGTTACTGCTCCTTTCCTGTTCTGCATCTTTCTTTTTTGGTTGTTTGGTTGGTATAAAAAAATTTTTGTCTCTTCCTTTCTCTCATCAGAGGCATTGACATATTCTGAATATTTTCAAAGAAGACCTTCCAGTTCTGTTTATCTGCTGCATTTCACTGAGTTTCTCTTCTTGCCTCTCTGCACATGTCTGACTGCACTTACATTTAACACTCTTCTTTACTTGAATACATACTTTGTTCTTGAACTTTTCAATTTCATGACAACTGTACTTAAAACTTAATGTCCCCACGAGTTCAGCCATGTAGTGTTTTATCATCTAATTTTAAGTATTTCTTAATTTCCCTTTTTTATCCAGTCTAACAATCTCTGAATTTTAATTGGAGTATTTAGTCCATTTATATTGAATGTAATTATTGGTATAGTTGGATTTAGGTTTATCATTTTGCTATTTTATCGTCTTTCAACCACCTGTTTTTAGTTTCTTTTGTCCTCCTTTCCTGACTTCTTTTTAATTAACTGAATATTATTTAGAATTCCATTTAAATTAATGTATTGACTTTTAAGTATAATTCCTTGATTAAATATGTTTTACATTTATACTACACTTAGTAAATTTTAGTGGTTGCTCAAGGAATTATAATATAAACCTTAACTTTTTAATGTACTTGAAGTTAATATTGTGTCTCTTCACGTCAAATATAAGAAATCTGCAAACACATAGTTCTACGTATGTTTCATCATTTATGGTATCTATCTATACATACATCAAGATATAGATACATAGATATCTATACCATCTATATGCACCATAAACTCAATAGTGTTATAATTTTGACTAAACAATCATGTTTTAAACAGTTCATTAAAATTGAAAGAATGTTTTTAAAATTTACCCACATTTACCACTTCTGGTGCTCTTCACTCCTTCCTGAAGATCCAAATTATCATCCAATGTTTATCTTAAGCCTGAGGAACAACTTCTTTTTAGCATTTCTTGTCATGTAGATTTCCTAGCAACAATTGTTTTGGTTTATCTAAAAATATCAATTTTACCTCCATTTTTGATATTTTCTCTGAATATAGAATTCTAAATTGAAAAGTCTTATTCCCACACCCCCCCCTCAGCACTTAAAAAGTTGTCATCTCACTGTCCTCTGGCCTCTGTTTCTACCTACCTAAAGGCAGCCATCATGCATATCATGTTTTCCTTGGCTACTTTGAAGATTTTCTTTTTATTTTTGGGTTTCAGCAGGTCCATAATGGCGTGTCCAGATGTGCTTTTTCTCGTATTTATCCTGCTTGGGTTTTTATGACATTCTTAAATGTGGAGGTATGTATCTTTCACCAAACCTGGGGAACTTCTGGACATTTCTCAAACGGGTTCTCTATTCCATCACTTTTCCTCCCTTTCTTGTAACTCTAATTTCATGTGTTAGAACTTTCGATATTATCACACAGGTCACTGAAGCACTGTTCATTTTCTTGCAATCCTCTCTCTGCATTTCAGATTAGTGGATCTATATTCAACTTTGTCAACTCTTCTGCCACTTTCAATTTGCTGTTAAACCTCTCCAGTGAATTTTTAGTTTCACGTATTGTATTTCTCATTTTTAGAAATCCAATTTCCAATTGTTGTAATTCATTTGCTGAAGTTCCCATTTGCTCATTCATTAATCCCACACTTCCCTTCAGAATAATTATAGCAGTGGCTTCCACATTCTTGTTTGCTAACACCAATATCTAGGTTATCTCAGGATTCATCTTGGTTGCTTTTTCTCTCGAATGTGGCTTATGTTCATGTGGCTTGTTTTTTCATGTATCTAACATTTTTATTGCATCCTAGATGTCATGAATAGTAAGTACACTGTAAAGAAACTGTTATGTTTCTGTGAAGAGCACTGACTTTTGTTTTAGTAAGAAGTTTACTTGGTTGAATTCAATCTCCAAATTCTGTCTCCCCTGAGACAGGTAGGAGCTAAAGCCTTTGGTTCTTTCAGCCTTAGTTGGGATGCTTGGAGTCTGTCTGATACTTGCATATACAAGGGATTAGCTAGAAATTTTACACCTTAAGTTAAGTATTGTTGAAGACTTAAAGAACGTGAGAAAAATCTTATTAGAAACTGGTGGAAAAGGGGTTCTTGTTAATGTAGTGGAAGAAAAGTTTAGCAACTCTATTATTTGCAATGTGGAAAGCCCGTCTGGGTGATTAGCTAAGGCCACTTGCAAGAATGTGAAGATGTTTCCTGTTTTTGTTTGTTTGTTTGTTTTTGCTGCTTATAGAAATATACAAAAGGAGCTAGGTTAAGGGAGAGATTCATTAAAAAGGAGACAGGACGTGGTGGTTTTGAAAAGCCACAGCCTCCACAGATAGCAGATGATGCTAAAATCAAGAAACGGCTTCCAGGGTTTTGCTAGGACACTGGTCTAGAGAGAAAACTAAGGGTGTGACTGTAAAACTTTTTGTTAGAACCTCAAAGATCAAAGCCAGTATCTGAGTACCGTTTAATGACACAAAGGCTCTGGAAAGAGATTAAGGGGGATCCTTACAGATACTCTGATTTAAATGGTAAGTCCTCTAAAAACTTATCTCAGGAATTCATGACTGTGGCTTCTATCCAAATGGGGTGAACCCTAGTGAGATTCACACCAAGTCCACAAAGTTTTTAAGAGAATTAGCACTGCCAACTTGGAGAGAAGTGACAGAGATGATATAAAATGAAGAGACCATTAGATTTCCAAAATTCAAATGCCAGTAAGCAAGATTAGAAAACTACTGAGCTGCAAACATGGCAGAACCAAGTGTCCAGAGGATGGAGAATACCCCCAGGACTTGATACCTAATCAGATAATTTCCACACATTTTTCTGGCCAGATTTCAGGATTGCTATACACCAGTGACTTCAGTCTGTTGGCTGTGTGTGTCTCTGTGTGTGTTTGTGGTGCCTGGGTTGGGGGTGGTGGGGAGGCAGATAATTTATTTCCAAAGGTCTGCGGATCAAGAGGAACTGTACTTAAGAAACCTCATATGCCTCATGAGCACCTGGACTTGATTTAGATGACAGGATTTGTGACTTTGAGATGATGCCGCGATGAAACTTGGGGAGGGCCTTAAAGTGGGTGAGTGTACTTGCGTGTGGAAGGGACAGGAATCACCAAGGGCCAGAGGGCAGACTGTGGTAGGCAGCCATGAAGGTGGCTCCCAGTGACCCCCGCCTCCTGCTACTCATACCCTTCCGTAATCCTCTCCCCTTGGGAGTGAGCTGGAACTAGGGACCCACTTTTAATTACCAAGTGCAAAGAGGAGGGGATGTCACTAGTCGTATTAGGTTACACAGAGGCTTCGGCTTCCATCTTGGGTACCCTTCTCTTGCCTGCTCACTTACGAGGAAGCCAGCTGCCACGCTATGAGCTGCCCATCTGGGAAGGAATTATGTGTCTAGCCAAAAGCCAGTGAGGACCCAAAGCCAGCCAACAGTCTTAATGAGTGAGCTTGGAAGACGACTCTCGTCCAGTAAAACCTTCAGATAACTGCAGCACCCGCCAACAACTTGACTGCAGCCTTGTGAGAGGACCTGGGAGCCAGAGGCACCCAGCTAAGCCATGCCTGGATTCCTCACCCAAAGAAGTTGTGACATAATAAATGTATGTCTGTTTTAAGCTCCTAAGCTTTAGGGTAATTTGTTACACAGCAGCTAACAAATATACCATCACAGCTCTTACTCTATGATTCAGTGAGTTAAGACAGGGATTTTATCAGTAGTCAAAGATCCCATACTGATAGAATTATGAGAGCTGCTATCACAATTAAAACCCAAGTGTCGTGACCTGGACACACGTAAGTTTATTTTTCACTCACATAATAATCCATTGGCTGTGTTCCTGAGTGACTGAAGGCTCTCCTCCAAACAGCGGTTGAGGGGCCCAGAGTTAGTTCTTCCATCTTGCAGGTTTGCGGCTCCACACAATCAAGATTCTTCAGCCAGCTGGACAGTACAACCTCTCCTTAGTGAACACGCCCCAAGGGACACACATGG